ATCCCAAAAGTTGTACAAAGTAGGTCTGTGCCAGTCTTGATTAGGGACTGCGCCTGAAAGATGGCTGCAGACATGAGATAATGAGGTCCTGTGATAACGCGGGCCTCCTTTAAGGTTTTTCCCATGAACAGAGACTGTCGCCAGTCCACAAAAACGACACTGTGCGTCGGCACCACGCTACTCACTTCTCATTTGCCGAGCACAAAAGCTGATCCACCCCACAATCCGCGCTAACAACCCGGGGGAGGAGGAGGAGGAAAGGGGGGGGGGGGGCAACAAATCATATAACATTCAGTCGTTTTCACTTGGCCACTAATTAACTGGAATCCCACCTTGCTCCTAAATACAGTGACCAATTAAAGCGCCGTGAACGCCAAGGGGTCTCCGGGGCCACGCTCTGTCGCCAGGAGCATTTGTGAAGGTCTGGAGCTTCGCTGTGGGCAATGGATCTTATTAGGTGAATGACCTCAGCCAGGAAAGGCTTTTTCACTGCCCTCCGTTGGAAAAACTAAGATGTGTCCTAATCGGATTTTAATTGGGTGGTTGGCTGGTGTCGGTGCGCAAAAGGGGGAGGAATTTGGAGTTTGTGTTTCAGCCTGGATTAAAGAGACAGGCTGCTGTAGAGTGATTAAGTTAGCACAGTTTATATAAAAAGGCAAGGTGTTGACAAATCCGCATGTTTGAGCTTAATATTATAATTTTGACACAATTTGGGCACGAACAAGATGAAAGTAAACAAAATATTTTGATCAGAAAAGCCCATTAATCTAATATTTTAACACCATGGATAGACAAAGGTGGGGGGGGGGGGGTTCTAACCATTTTTTTTCTTTTGCAACTGTTGCACAAACCCAGTCTCCTCTCAGCCCTCATCCATGCTCCAAGTTAAGCCAACCCAGGTTCAGTTTACGTTCAATTACGCCCCCCACACCCCCTTCTCCTAGTCCCTCCTTCGCTCATTACCCCCGCAAAAGAAAAGAAAAGAAAAGAAAAGAAAAGGGAAAAAAAGAACGTTTTTATGCAAAACATCTGTAGGGACTTCAATAAATGAAAGCGGCGGCTCTAAAAAACCGCATCCTACTTCGTTTTGATTTTCATGTGGCTTTGGTGTATTGTTTAACTCTAAATACGGCCACGACTCATATTTCACATGTCACAAATATCCCGGCCGATTCACGATTTGAAGATGAAAAACAAAAAAAAAAATGCAGTTAAAACGAATAAAAATCAGAGGTTGGAAAGAGAGGCGGACAAACCTGTTGAAACGCAACACCGGTGTAAACAAACAATTTCAAAAAAACGCGCTGAGTGTGACTTCACAGAAACTGCAGGAGTTATCTCCGCAGTAATAAAAAACAGAAAATGCTACAATGATATTTGATAATATTTGCAATTTTGATAAAGGGTATGGTCTTATTTTTATATGCCGAAAAAAAGATACATTTTGCAGAAATCAAATAAAATAAATAAAACGTCAAATTCTATTTACTTTTTATCATTATATTTTATTTTAGTTTTATTTATTTGTTTATTTATTTATTTATTTTGGCAATCTCTTTGCCGTTTTTTTTTTCTTCAAAAGTGACTTAAATGATCCACAGACTTGTTTGCATGCTGCGGGGAGATATTTGACCTGAACCCCCCCTCCCCGGTCGCTTTGGCTCGCAGCACAGCTCTTCATAAATTGTTGTTCTCGCTCCTGACAAAACTGTTAATTCACCCAGAAACTGGAGGTCAAGTTTCAACAGAAGAAAAAAAAAGAAGAAGAAGAAGTGGCCCCGACTGACAACCAGCAGCAACATCTCAACAGAGCTGCATATCCTCAGCTTTTCTTCAATACTAAAGAGTAAGAACATTTTGACACAACATTTTATTTTCTGTGTTTATTCAAGTGGGGGTTGGGGGTAAATATAAGCTCATAAAATGCATTTATTTTTATTTCTAATCATGACCCTGTATTTTTACTTAATTAAAACAATTAGCATTTTTGCTTGTTGCACCTTCAAAACACAGTATTGTTTTGCAACTTTCATGGGAAAAACAATTACAAAAATATATGCAGTTTTAGTCTGAAAGCATAAACAAAATGACAAAACAAACAAACAAAAAAAAGAGCTCTTCAGCTCTGAGGTGAAGTAAAAGCCAAACTCAAAAGGTGGATTATGAGCTCAGGCCTGCACGCCGCACCTGCAGGGAGTGGTTGGAGAATCTTTCTCGAAATAATGGCCGAAAACTTGTGAGGTTAAACAGGGAAGAGAGAGAGAAGAAAAAAAAGACAGACCACCTGAGGCACAAATTCAGGAAGACCTGGCTTACCTAGAAGGAAATCGACACCTTTGTTAGTTTTTACAAGGTCATTTAGGGATGAGGAATACTGCAGTTTTTGTATAACCATGCTGCAAAATTCCTTAAATGCATTTAAGGAGCTCTGGAGCTAAAGTCACATGGATGTGGTTGATCCATGCTGCCTGAAAACTCCTTTCCTGTTAAATGTCTGTTACAGTTCTTACTGTGGATTTAATTTAAGGGCTGATCTATTTACCTCAATCATCGTTCTCTGTCACAGAACGTCTGATTGTGGAACAGAAACACATAAAAGGCGCATGTTGGACCGTCCCGTCAGTGGAAATGAGTGCTGATTTCTTTTAACCAAACTCTCCAGACTGCGTGGCACTTGCTTTTCCGCCTATGGTTTTCCATTTCAAAGCGCTGTGTCTCCATGTAAATACCAAAACACAGTAATCCAATCTGACCCCGCTGCAAATTTTCCAGAAACTATTGGGGGGGGGGTGGGGGTTGACATGAGCCACACACTTATCCCACTTAACCTCCAGAGAGAAGCCACCCTAACCCCCTCAGACCAAGATTCCCCTTGTTGAAGGAATGTGCTGCTTTCTGCCGCCCGGCTCTTAAAAGCGTCTTGAGGTCGGACCCCGGTGGCAGAAGCTTCTAAGTTTGTGTGGTTGGGAAGTCAAAGCCGCGCTGAGTTGATGCCAATGGCGGTGGACAGCAGAAACCCACATCAGGGCACCTCTCTGCTCACTGTTCTGTGCAAACCAAAACACTTTTTGATTCAAAACCTTGAGTCGCTCCCCACCCCACCATTCCACCACCACCCAACAGATGCCTCTCATGAGCATAGCAGGAACATATTTACACTGCGCTAACTTGATGACAAATAACCCGAGGATTCTTCTGGTTCCCATTTGCTATTGTTTGCGTTTTAGCATGCAAAACTAGTTCCAGTCCAATTCCCAGTTCTGAGACTACAAGGGGGGGAAAGATGCTTATCTGCCATGTTGGCAAGTGGTGGCACGTAAAGGCAAACTGAAGGCCTCTAACACATGATCTGCATCTGATGTTTTCACCAGGAGGATCTTGTAGCTGCAGAACAAAAGAGACTGATGACTGTTTATTGGTTTGAGCAGACAAATCCCTCGCATTATACTCTCCAGGTGATGCACGGCTGCTGTACATGGCTTATTATGAAAGTTCTGTGTATATATGGTGTGTTGTCAAAGAGCAGCTATCAGGGCGTTATGCTGCAGAAGCAAACATTAGAAAGCTTTTAGCAGCCAAACAATGCAACGAGCATCTGAACAAACAGCAACACCCTTGATTTGAGACCAAACGTGATTCTGTAATGTCGACACTTTTAGTTTAGCATGCAGCCTCAAAACCTAAAAATACCTAGCTTTTTTCTTTTTTTTCATCCCTTCTTGCATGGTAATCACTTAAAAAGAAACAATAGCTTGCCTTCTGGTTGAACCACTGCAACCAGTGGAGCCAGTGTCTCCTGAACACAATACCATTTTTCTTGCCAATCCACTGCCATCAATGAGAACATCCCCTAATTAACAAATAAAGTATTCCATCAATAGCTATAGCTCTAACTGGCCAGTTCAGGAATTGACGGGAGCAAGAATTGAGCAGACTTCAAATACCCGACAGAGACTTTTTATAGACAGGTAAAGAGTTAATCACGCCTCAAGGCAATTAACTAAAACACGTGTGATTCCGAGAAGTGCGCTTTACAATATGCACCCTTTCGGAGCAATATTGTCTCAGCAGATCAATCCCATAGCCCCACCTTCATCTTTAAGGTAAAACTGGTTTGTATTTAGAAAGTCATTATGTTGTCAGTTGAACCCTTTCCTCCTCCAACCCCCTGTGCTTCATGTTGGGATGCACATAATGAAGTTTGGACTCATTACACTCAATGAATATACTAATCTGGTGATGTTTCCTTTCCCTATCAAGTCGCGTTAGAGCTGATGAGTCTCACCAGACAATCTCCGCCATTGAGAAGTGGTGCCACCAAGTCTGTCCTCGCTTATCATTAACAATCTGCAAATAAACAGGACAGCATACATTACATCACTCGCAGCTCCATGATCAATTCCAGGAATGTCTTTGAAGCGTTGCTTAATGAACCTACACAGTGTGGCTGTTGTATGCACTCAGGGCATGAAAGTCACACAAGCGAAGACTTTTATGCAGATTAGGTCAGCAAAGAAAAAAAGGTGAATAGTTTGAAGCAGCTCTGCGATATAATTCCTCGTTTTCTTCACAAATCTTTAACAGGTATTGGCCAATTCACAAAACAAATCCACTTCTGATTTCTGCTCCGTGTGTTCTGAGTAGATGTGCAAAAAGAGAAGCGCTGACAAAGTTAGCTTCATCAATCAGCAGTGTCAGCTCAGACCTTTTTATAGCCCCCGCCAAGTCCCTGGGAGCCCTAACCCTGTAAAAGTTTATATAGTGTATTGACCATCCTCTACTTGCTTAGCTAATGAAGCCAGCTTTGGCCACAAGAGCCTGAGAGGCTGCCATAGTGTCAACACGGCTTCCTATTTGATGACACTTTTCACTAAATTGAAATGTGCTTCTAATGGGCTGAGTGTTTAAAGAAGAAGAAGAAACATTGGTATTTGACACAGACCTGACCCCACTCACAGCTCTGGCAGATTTTTCATTTGTGCTGCAGCAGCTTCTCAGCAGTGTTGCCTCTGGACTCTGTAGCAAATCAATAACACACAGGAACGTGCAGCAGAGGATTCCATCTCACCCAGATACAGAAGTATTGTCTTCTTTGACAAGTCCCAAGTACGTGCAGAAGGTGGCATCTGACTCCAAATAACCGAGCTTCAATGAACAGAACCTGCACAACGTGACTACGAACTCTTCCTCATGCTGCTACAATGAACACTCCTGATATCAGCACAAGTTGTGCTGCCATCACCGCCCAGACTCAGCCCCGAGGCATTAACTGACATGTTCTTGCCCTAAACTTCAAAGCAAATACACTTTTGTCTTTACAGTTTTATGTGTAACACGTTCATCACACAATTAAATAGTGTAAGCATAAGAAAAATGTTGGCCAAGTTTCAGAGAGTGATGCAAAACTACATGGGCAAGAATCTCCCTCAACAACACCCATTCTCAAACCCATGCTCCTGACATGGTGGTCAGTGTTTGTCCACAGTGCCGGGCACTGCATAATTTACTTGTGATTTTATGGTAAAGCTGTTTCAGAGGAAAATCTGTGGTTTTTGACACTTTGCAATCAGACAACAAAAACTGAGTCATTCTTCTATGAACTGCTTTATTCATGTCTGTGGTAATAATGAAAAAAAAACGACTTACTGTAGCCAAGATCATCACGAGATTGGATATTACAAGGGCTGAAAAACAGATTATGACAGCTGAAGTCCAGTTCATTAAAGGTCCAAAAATGGAAGTTAAAAAAAGAAAAACGTGGCGTTTAAAAATGACCAAAACCACATAATGTTTTCACAGAGACTGAAAGTATCCTCCAGTGACAGTTGAGGCAGGAAAACGAACAGCATCTACCATAAAATGGGTTGATTTAAAATGTCAACTTTTTAAAAAAATATATATATGTAATACAAAAAAAATCCTCACTGAACTCCTTTATTGTGCATTAGCATCTTAAATTCAATTTCAATTTCAAACAAAAAGACAAAATTTGAACTAAATAACTTAAAAATTACAAATTTTATATCATCTCAGCATTTCTCACACACTTTGTTTTAAATTTAAAATAAAACATACATAATACCCAAGGTGATAATAAGAGTATAAAACGCGCGTTATTGTATATTATAAAATAAGCACAAAAATAATTTATCACAAATTTCTGCAGGTTTCAGGTGCGTCATGGTATTCTTTTTTAAATATTTTAATCACAAAGCGCGCGCTCCTCATCCCTGATAACGTTCCGCAGCTTTGATTTCAAGAGGAAGAAATGGGATGTTTTGGGTTGGGGGGGGTGTAGGGTGGGGGGTGCGCGCGCTCCTAAAATGGGTTTGGATTTTAAACAGCACAATGTTCAATCGGGGGGAAATGTGATAAATAAAAGAACAAAAACTGTTTGGATTGAAACGCACAAGGCTGGTGGGGAGCAGAGAGGAGGTGGGAGGGGGCGCAGAGAACCGAGTCAACAGCAGCGCAGCAGATCGGAACATCCACCCCCTCCACCCCCGCGCCGCCTCGGCTGCTCCTCACACACCGACCGACAGCGCAACTTTCTGGAACGATGTTGACATATTCACACACACACACAACACGCCGGGCCGAGCCGAGGCGGGGGCGGCGGTGTTTCACGGCAAAAAGCCCTTTCGAGTTCCACCAAACACCTCTTTATAAGTCTGAAGTCTGTCCCCCCCTCCCCTCCACCCGGACCTGTCGGAACCACGCCTACGCCGCCACACAATTGGTCCGAAAGCGTCAAAGAGCCAATCAAACGCGGCGCTGCAGCTCGCGACGCGCAACACATCCACACTGCGTGAAGCCCCGTGGGCCACAGAGGCGCTAGGAAAATCACGGAGCTGGGACCTTACCGCCCCTCTCTCTCTCTCTCTCTCTCTCTCTCTCTCTCTCTCTCTCTCTCTCTCTCCATCTCTGCTGGCTCCTGTACGAACGCTGATTATTGACGAGGACCC